GCTGGTCTCAAACTCCTAAGCTCAAATGATCCACCTGCCTCGGCCTCCCAGAGTGCTAGGATTACAGGCATGAGCCACCGCGCCCAGCCTCTACAAAAAATTTAAAAATTAGCCAGGCATGGTGGCACATGCCTGTAGTCCCAGCAACTTGGGAGGTTGAGGCAGGAGGATCCCTTTAGCCCAGGCATTAGAGGTTGCAGTGAGCTATGATGACACCACTGCACTCTAGCCCAGGCAATAGAGCAAGACCCTGTCTCGAAAAAGAGTCAGAGTCTCGCTGTGTTGCCCAGGATGAACTTGAACTCCAGGGCTCAAGTGATCCTCCTGCCTCAGTCTCCCACATAATAGGGACTACAGGTGTACTCCACTACTCCTGGCCTATCCTCTTGTCTTCAAATGTGCCACGACTCTTCTTGAGTCTTTGCCTTTCAATATAAATTTTAAAATTGGCTTATGATGTTTAAAAAAATTATTGGAATTGCATTGAATCTATAGATCATATTTCAAAAGAAATGGCAATTTTCCAATATGGGGTTCTCCAATCTATGAATATAGTACATATCTCCATTTACTTAGGTCTTCTTTAGTGTTTCCCAATAAAAATTTACAGTTTTTTCATAGTATTTCATATTGTATGCTATTATAAAAGTTAATCTTTTTAAATTTTAATTTTCTAACTTTGTGGCCAGTATATAGAAATAAGATTGAATTGTTTTTCTTTTATTTTAGAGACAAGGTCTCATTCTGTCACCCAGGCTGGAGTGCAGTGGTGTGATCATAGCTCACTGCCCCCTCCAATTCCTGGGCTCAAGTGATCCTCCTGCCTTGGCCTCTGAAAGTTTTGGGATTACAGGCATGAGCCACTGCGCCCGGCCAAGTTTTTAATATTGATTTTGTTCATATTAATAGCAACCTTGTTAAACTTTGTTATTAACTATGGTAGTCCCCCCTTATCTGCAGGGGATATGTTCCAAGATTCCCAGTGGATGCCTGAAATCACAGATAGTATTAAATTCAATTACTATCAATCAGAACAGACTTTAGTTCATATCTTACACCCACAAGTTTAGTTCCTTTTCTACCTTAAGTACTTATCACACACTTTTGCAGTCTGAGGTGTAATAGCAAAACCAGCACAAGTTTCTTTTTCCTTCACAATTCCATAGACATAAGATTTGTTCTTACCGTAGAATTTAGCAACCTCAGCTAAATTCTCAGCATACAATTTTTTTTTTCTTAAGTCGAGAACTTTCACCTTTTCACTTAAAGGAAGCACTTTATGGTGTCTCTTTGGCATGTCTGAATTGCCAGCATCACTACTCCTCCATTTTGGGGCCACTATTTAGTAAAATAAGGGTTACTTGAGTGATACAGACAGTCGATCTGATAACAGAGACAGCTACTAAGTGACTTACAGGCAGGTAGCATACGTATTATGGATACGCTGGACAAAAGGATGATTCACAGGCACAGCAAGCAAAATAGCACAAGTTTTTACCACTCAGAATGGCACGCAGTGCAAATTAAAACTTATGAATTGAGGCCGGGCGCGGTGGCTCACGCCTGTAATCCTAGCACTCTGGGAGGCCGAGGCGGGCGGATTGTTTGAGCTCAGGAGTTCGAAACAGGAGAGGCTGGGATGGCAGGGTTTCCTCAAGTCAAGGGAAAGCCGGAGGTAGGGTGCGGGGAGGAGAGCTATCGAGCGTTTTTTCACTTGTCCTGTTCGGCTTTGTAGCGTCTCCTGTGTAATCAGCCTCTT